ATATATATATATATATATATATATACACACAACATATGTTATAATAATAATAAATATTATTAATGTTATATATTGTATATCTGATATATATATATAGTGGGCATTTTTATATATGAGATTTCATAAATCTACTCTTTTTTAACTCTTAGCTCCTTGTTTCCTGGCTCAAGGACAGTAATTATACTTAGTCTAAGCTATACATCAGTCAGATGCATGCTATAGAAGATTTTGCTCTTAGTCTGAGATACCCTATATACCTCCCACTTTATAGACATAGAAATATTAAAGAGAAAGTAATATTTGGAAATGACATGTTAGACTTGAATAATGTTTTCCTGCTCAGTTTTAGAATTGACACTTCTTTTCGGATGCCTGAAGAAGTTTTTGAAGATCCTGAAGTTACTGGAAAGAATCGCTATAAATATTTTGAGAGGTAGAAAGTAATTACTAATGAATATGAGCCCTGATACTGTTAGAGAACCTCTTTATGATAATGATAGTAGCTATCATTTTTAAATATGTGCAGTGTGCCAGGCACCATTTTAAGTACTTACATATACACTATAAATTTTCACAACAGAAATAGGATAGGATATATTATCCCCATTTTGCCAGTAAGGTAGTGGAGACCAAAAGGGGAGAAATAAATTGCCCAAAGTCACATAAGTTAGCAAGTGGCAGAGTTGGGGTTCCAGCTAAGTCTGCCTGACTTCAGAGGTACTAATTTCAAATAAGAATGTATATCTGAGAATAAAGTGAAGTCATCAAAGGAAGTGAAATTGAGCAGTGACACAATGACAGTCAGTACAGGGAATATTATTAACAGTGTGCAAGTAAGTGACATTTGCTCTCTTTCTGTGAATGTTGCCAAAACTTCACGGTCAAACTCACTGTTTCATTTGTGATTAATACTCATGTAATAATCATATACTCTGGCCAAATTAAAATAAGATAAGGATTTCTCTATAGGTTCTTATCTGAGTTAGAAAATAATCTTGATATCATATCTACATAAGCTTCCTTGAGAAAGTTAATTTATAATCCACGTAATTACTTATGAGTCCCTTATGGAAATTTTATGATGCTGGTTTTTTTAGAGAATTGTTAAGTTTTTAACATCCTATACTCAATTCCCTGACTTTTGTGGGGGAAGTGTTTAAAACTAAATCATTGGAAAATTTCAGAATGTCTCCGGGAACTTGAGAGGTTGCTGGGAGCTAATGAGCAGTTGAAGCCCAGGTATAAAGCATGGCTTCTCAAAGAGTGGCTTGTTTACCATCTGCAGAGAAAACACTGAAATGTTTATTTAAAATGCAGATTCATTGGCTCTACCTTATATCTTAATCTCCTGGGCTAGAACTGGAAATTTGCATTTTAAACAAGACTCTTCCCACTCCTCAGTGACTTTGTGTATGCCAAGTTTAAGGATTACTGATACATTACTGATATATGAGGATATTTAAGCTCACTGACTTTAAGGGACAAATACTAAAGTTGGAAGAAAACTCAGAGTACACACAATGCAAAAGTCTCACATGTTTGTATTTTCCTTTCTTCCCCAGACCTTTTCTTCCATTTTATCAACAGATACCATTCAGTGTTGTTTATGCAGCAACCAGGTAAGTAGCCATTATTTTAAAACCCTTTTTTCCTATTTTATTTTATTGTTTGCTTCTGTATTTGTTCCAGAGGATAGTTCTGTAAATAAATATGTTTCAAACTGTGTATCACAAACCATTAGAAGGTTATAAAATATTCTAGTGGGTCATGAGCAGCATTTTAAAAAGTGAGAACCAAAGAATCAGACATGTTGAAGGTAAGTTGTTTTCTGCTTTTAACTTTTGTTTTGGATAGATATGTAATATGTTCATATATATATATAGTGGTTATGATGTAAAATGTGTTTCTTATGAGTTAAAGTAAAAATAAAAGTTGAAAACTGATTTGTCCTCTTGTGCTTCTCTGAAACAAAATATTTGATAACACTTCTTCAATATTTTATTTAAAACACTAACCAATCTAATATACACAAGCCAATGTGATACACAAAAATAAATAAAACATGGTTTCTCTCTCACACAGTTGAAAACCAATGTGGGAGGAAGTAAAAGACAAGGGCTGAATCTGGGATTAATGTGCAGTTCCCTAGTCTTGTTCTAGGGCAAGACATCTGGTTAGGTCAAGTGTCTCATTAAAAACCTGATTTTTGCTGTACTCTTTCCTGTGTCAATATAATTTAGTATTTCTGTAAGAGAAAACAAACAGGTATTTATGAAATGATCAGGAAAAGAAACATTTTTAAGGTCTCAGATTTCTCAGTGGAAATTTAGATAGGGTTTGGCTTTGAAATAAGCATTTTAAAGATATGGTTACTCCTAATGATATAGCATCTTAGATATATGTTATCAACTGTCTGTAATCCTCAAGATAAGTGACAATGATGATCTCAAGTAAAGACTGTGTATGGATACTTTTGGCTCTTACATACATGGAGAAGAGCTTCCCTGCTCTCCCCCTGAACAGAGCCTCTTTGTGTGGTGTTAATTTACCTGACGACAGCTTTGGATTTGTTTTCTATGAAATGCTTGGTATGAGCAAAGGGAGGGCTAGAGACAGGTAGATCCCTATACATCCCTTTGGTACTTTTTTTTAAAAGTATGCTCACTGGATCATCTTAAGAAGTCATAATTATATCAAGTCTAAAAGTTGTTCAGTTTATTGTAGAGAGTTCTGAAGTTTACAGTGATGAACACTGGGCTTCCCCACTTCTTCCTAAGTAACTGACATAAGGGGTAAGATTCCCTCTGTGAGTTAGACCATGAGAGTTGATATTCCAGATAGACTCTATCTTTCTTAGAAGTTTTTAAAGAGTGAGTCAGTATCCGTGAGCGAGATCAACTCTGAAATTATATTGGTGTTGACTTTCTGAGCTGTGAGGATAATTCCATCTTAGGTTAGCAGGGATGGAGTTGTTTGGGGACCAGCTGGCCTCCAGCCACACCCTTTTCATGGCTAGCTGTTGGAATCTTTCCTTTGGACTCCATGTAAGCATCTTGGTGAAGAGGATAAACAGTTAATATTATAAAATGTTCAATGGCAGTTTCCAGTTCTACATTTAAGGAGCTTGGAAGTTTCCACTCTGTCTTAACAACAAGTAAAAATCTGAATAGACTGAAACATCAACAACTTTTCTTGGATCCATAATAGAGGGGAGGATTCAGGGAAAACCACTGCCTCAACATTAGAGAGATAGACAGGTAAATGTAGGGAGTAATAGCTTCCCAGAACAGAGATTCATGAGTGGAGGCCATCCTGGGAACCAGTCCCAGGTAGGAAAACCTGAACTCTAATTGAGCAACTACTAGAGGCTCATCGTGAAAGCTCAGAAGTGAAAACTCCAGGGGGAACAAGTCACAGGGGGGCTCTCACAATTTTGTTAGATTTACCTCGAGGAACTCAACCAGTTTCTCATAGTAAATATCAGAAAAATCCTTTCCTGCTTCTGGTTGGGGAAGGGGAAAGGGAGCCATTTTGAAATACGCCAGAGCACTTTGTTCTTAACAAGGACTGCCCTCAGGAGAAACTAGTGAACCAGAGCCTAACCTGCTGGGGTATCATCAGAGCCTAACTGACCTGAGGGAATGGAAATATCCAACTTCAGCCCCCACCTAAGTGGGGAGGAAAAAACAGAAACGTTTGTGAGGCTCACACTCCAGAGACACAGGCTCACTAAAGGATTGAGACCTAATCATAGGACAACAGAATGCTTCCCCTCCCACCACACCTTGCTGCCACATTACTAAAGGCCTGTTTGTAGTAGCTCTTACTCAGTACAGCATATCCAGCTGTCAAAAGAAAAAAAAATGTACTGGACATACTGACAGGTAAAAAACACAATTTGAAGAGACAGCATGAGCTTCAGAACCAGACATGGTGGGCATGTTGGAATTCTCAGATCAAGAATTTAAAACAACTGTGATTAACATGCTAAAGTCACTAATGGATAAAGCAGACTATATGCCAGATCAGATAGGCAATGTAATCAGAGAGATAGACATCTTAAGAACAAAGTGAAAAAAAAATTGCTAGAGACCAAAAACACTGTAACAGAAATGAAGAATGCCTTTGAGTGCTCACTAGTTAACTGGGCACAGCTGAGGAAAGGATCTCTGAGCTAGAGGGTATATCCATAGAAACCCCTAAAAATTAAAAACAAAGAGAACAAAGACTGAAGATAAGGAACAGAATATCCAAGAACTGTGGACAACTACAAAGGTCTGATGTACATGTAAGAGGAATAGTAGGAGAAGAAAATGAGAAAGGAACAGATGAAATATTTGAAATAATAATGACTGAGACTTTCCAAAAGTTAATGTCAGACACCAAACTACAGATTCAGGAAGCTCAGAGAACACTCAACTGGATAAATGCCAACAAAACAAAACAAAACACAAAACCATACATTGAGGCATATTATATCCAAACTAAAGAAAATCAGAGGTAAAGAAAAAATTCTGGCAGAAGCCAAAGGACAAAAATACGTCACCTATAGAGGAACAAACATAAGAATTATATCTGTTATAAACCCACACTTATATGGCCAATTAATATACAATAAAGGAGCCATGCATTTATAGTGGGGAAATGGCAGCCACTTCAGCAACTGGTGTTGGCAAAACTGTACAGCTACATGTAAGAGAATGAAACGGGATTATTGTCTAACTCCATACACGAAAGTAAACTCGAATCAAAAACCTGAATGTAAGTCATGAAACCATAAAATTCTTAGAAAAAAACATAGGCAAAAATCTCTTGAATATAAACATGCACAACTTTCTCCTGAACATAACTCCTTGGGCAAGGGAAACAAAAGCAAAATTGAACAAATGGGATTACAGCAAACTAAGACTTCTGTACAGCAAAGGACACCAACAGCAGAACAAAAAGGCAACCTACAGTGTGGGAGAATATATTCATAAATGACTTATTCAATAAAGGATTAACACCCAAATGTATAAAGCACTCACATGCCTCAACACCCAGAAAACAAATAACCCTATTAAAAAATGGTGGAGAATATGAACAGATACTTCTCCAAAGAAGAAATTCAGCTGGCCAACAGGCATATGAAAAGATCCTCCACATTGCTAATTATCAGTGAAATGCAAATTAAAATCACAGTGCAATATTGCGTCACACCAGTTAGGATGACCAACATCCAAAAGACAAGGAACAACAAATGCTGGCGAGGATGTGGAGAAAGGGGAACCCTCCTACACTGTTGGTGGGAATGTAAATTAGTTCAACCATTGTAGAAAGCAATATGGAGGTTCCTCAAAAGACTAAAAATAGAAATACCATTTGACCCAGTAATTCCACTCCTAGGAATTTACCTGAGGAAAACAAGATCCCTGATTCAAAAAGACATATGGACTGCTGTGTTTATTGCCGCACTATTTGCAATAGCCAAGATATGGAAGCAACCCAAGTGTACATCAGTAGATGAATGGATAAAGAAGACGTGGTATATATACACAATGGAATATTATTCAGCTGTAAAAAAAACAAATCCTACCATTTGCAAAATCATGGATGGAGCTAGAGGGTATTATGCTCAGTGTAATAAGCCAGGTGAAGAAAGACAAATACCAAATGATTTCACTCATTTGTGGAGTATAACAACAAAGCAAAACAGAAAGAGCAGAACAGCAGCAAACTCAAGGACCCCAAGAAGGGACTAGAGGTTACCAAAGGGAAGAGGTTGGGGAGGGTAGGTGAAGAAGGAGGGAGAAGGGGATCAAGGGGCATTATAATTAGCACTCACAATATAGGGAGGTCACGGGGAAGGCAGTATAGCACGGAGAAAGCAAGTAGTGACTCTAGAACATCTTACTACGCTGGTGGACAGTGATTGCAATGGGGAGGGGACTTGATAATATGGGTTAATGTTGCTCATGTGAAACCTTCATAAGATTGTATATCAATGCTACCTTAATTAAAAAATAAAAAAGAATTACATCTGACTTCTCAGAAACCATCAAGCAAGAAGAGAGTAAAGAGAGAAGTGAAAATTTTAAATGTTTAAAATTAAAGAGAAATAACCCATCACTTAAAATTCTATATCATGCAAAACTTTCCTTAAAAAGTAAAGAAGAGATAGGCTTTCTCAGAGAAACAAAAACTAAGAGGGACTTTGTTGTTATTAGATCCACATCGCACGAAATGTTAAAGGAAATTCTTTAGATAGAAGGAAAATAATACAGGTCAGAAACTTGCATCTACATTTAAAAAAGCATTGAAGATGGAATAAATAAAGGTAAAATAAACTTTTAATTTTTCTTAATTGCTCTAAGATTGTTCAAAATAATAGCAACAATGTACTTCTTTGTATGTATGTATATATCCTATACGTATACATGCTTCATATATATGGATATATGTATGTATGTACATTATGCTTATGTATGTTTATATATAAGTGAAATGAATGAAAGCAATCATAAAGAGATAAAAGAGAGGAATTAGGATTATTTTGTTATTATAAGGTACTTATACTACCTGGGAAGTGATACAGTGTTTTTTGAAAACAGACTTCAATTAGTTGTAAATGTATATTGCA